CATCCCACCAGATCCGTTAGAAGGAGAGAGATGAGCAACACCAAACGTTGGCAAGGATGTGGAACCAGAAGAGCTCTCGCACATTCCTGGTGGGAGTGTGTAATGGCAGTCACTGTGGAATTATCATCTAAAACTGAACATATGCGTGTATTCAGTTCCATTTCTAAGTATACGCCTGACAGAAATGTATGTATATTTTTACCAAAAGATCTGCATCTAGGTGTTCATAGCAGCACTCTTCTTATTAGCCAAAAACTGGAAATAACCCAAACACCCACCAATGGCTGAATGAATAAATAAATTGTAGTATATGTACACAATGAAATACTATATAGCAGTGAGAATGAGTGAATTATTGCCGGAAAAATTGTGGACAAATCTCATGAGTATGATGTTGAGGGAAAGAAACCGGAGTCAAAGAATACATACAACGTGATTCCATTTACCTAAAGTTGAAAAACAAGCAAAAGGAGTCTACGGTGTCAGAAGTTAGGATAATGGTTACCTGGGCGGTAGAGAAGCTGAGGGGGGTTTCTCGGGATGTATGTTATACTTCAAACTAAAATGTTAAAAACAGGAGGAAGGACGTGCTCTCAAAGCAAAGGATAGGTCTTTGGAAAGTTTTTCATAAAACTTTGTATAAAGTTAAATTAGTTTTTTAAAGTTTTATGAAAAACTTTCCAATTTCTCCTTCCTTAAACTAGTGTAAATTGTATTATGGCAAGGTGTTGGACATATGACTATGTCCATGGGAGAAGGAAACAGGGGTGACATGGTCAGCAGCAACTGAAACGGGGGGAACAGGCCAGCCCTCCAAGGAAGGTGCTTCTCTGCGGCTCTTTGCTGACAAGTATATTGTATGCACGCATGTGCATATCTAGACAGATCTTTCCCAAAGTTTTGCACGTCATGACACATGTAGAAAGTGGCAACATTGGAATGGCATCCTGGGATATCGGATGGGGCTCCTGGCAGCCAAAGCTGACTGGCTGGGTCCTCCAGGTGTCCCCAGGATGAGCGGTACACTACCTCAGCACACTTGTGGGAAAACACCCACTTACAGAGTCGGGGAAGACATGAACCTCCATAACACATTTTAAGTTCTCCTGTTCTTCTGCTCCGGGAAAATCCAGCTCTATACACCCTTCACCTCTAGATTACAGGTCCCATTTGCAGTAATGAAGATCATGGGGTCCAGGGGTTTACTTGGCATTCCTGGTCTCTCCTCTATGCCGTGGTCTCATCTCCTCTTCCAGCCTCATTTCCCAACACACCCTCACCCCCTCCCCACTACCCTCCTCCACCTTATCCCCTAAACACATGATATCTTGAGCACACTGTACTTGTCTATCATCTAGAAACATCTCCCAAGACCCCCAAACTCCCAAGTCCTCCTCTTTCTCCATCATCTCTTTGCTCAGACCTTCCCTTCTCTATGAGGCCGCTTTTTATACACCGCCCAAGGCCACCGCCATACTTTGACTTATGTTACTGGTGTGCGTGTTTACATGAACTATCTTGCCCATAGTAGGTGCTCAACAATTGTTTCTCCAATGACTTCTAGGCTGCAGAGAGACCCTGACACTAACTTCACCCTACCCCTATTCTGGATGGTCACTCATTATCCCCATGAGTTGAATCCCCCAACTTCCTAGGGTACCAGTCTTGTGGCCACTCCGCATTCTGCCACTCCCTGCCAGAGGCTTGGAGCCAAGCAGCCTGGATGAGAGACATTACTCAGACCCCTCCCCCCCAGCTCACACCTCCGGCATTGGCATTAGGCTAATTGTGGTGTGACAAAGGGAAGTGGTGACTGCCCCTCAGCCTCAGTCCTGGCTCCCATCATTCAAGCGATAGCCTGCAGTGCCAGGATGTGGCCACAAGGGGCTCTACCGAGCGACTCTTATGTGCAGTGGAGGAGGGTTCTGTTGGAATACCTCCTGCCCAGATGCACAAGGAACGGCTCAGGGAGTCTCTCCTCTCCTCTCCAGTTCCCTTTGGCTGCCTTATCCTGATGTTTTACCCCTTAGCCACCTAGAAGGTGTTTCATATCTTAAGACATTCCTCCTGGCTTTCCCATTAGCCTTTCTCTTGCCATCCCCTTTACTGACCAACAGTCACCATGGAGGGAGGACACTTCCCCTTTGTCCCTTCTGCCTCTTTAGATGAGTGCCGAACCCAGGCCCTGAGCTCCCTGTCTTTCAGGATGTGGGATGGAAAATTGTCCTGTTCCATCTTTTCAACATCTCCTGACTCTGCCCCCTTCTCTTTCCTCACTGCCACCCAGGATCAGATTTCCCCATCTCTGGCCAGGATTAATGCAATCCTGGCTTCCTGGAGGATCCCCTGTCTCAGACAGCCCCCTGCCCATCAGCTGTCCACCCAGGAGCCAGAGAGAACTTACTCCCATCAGGTGCTGGCTCTCAATGGCTCCCCAGGTGCCTGAAGATCCAGCTGCCTGATTCTCCAGCCTCATGTTCCTCTTCTCCCCGTGTGCGCCAACCAACAATACTGAAATACCTATAATTGCTCAACACATCGTGATATTTCAAGTCTTTGTACTTTGCACACATTCTTTTCTGTGAGAGACCTTTATCCTTGCTCCCCATACTTCCTCCACCTGGCAGAATCCTATTCATTCTTAAAACTGCCAATTCCTCTGTGAACACTTCCCTGACCCAAGACTCCTTCCCATGCCCCGGAGCCTCCTCTGAATGGATCCTGTGCCCTGAACATGCGTCTCTCCTTGTATCTGTCACTCAGAGTTGTGATAATTACTCAAGCCTGTCCTGTTTTTCCCATTGATTCCGTAGCTCCCGGCAGGACACGGCGCTAGCACTCAGGAGGAGATACATGAAAGATGTTGCCTCATCCCTCTCTGCACCATCACCTCCGTCTCGAGCAAGTCCTTTAAATGCTCTGAACTCCCATTTGCTGATCTGCCAAACGGAGACCTGGGAGAATCAGAAGGGGGCACATACGTTAAAGAACTTTAACTGACTGAGTGCTATTAAACAGCTAAATGCTATGCAGATGTCTTTATTCCAGACTAGTGTTTACCTGCACTTGCCTGTGTGGAAATCAGAGGATCAAAGGAATGTGATGTGATCTTTTTGTAACTTCCCTGCCTCGAGTCCAGGGAAACGCTGGTTAAGAGTAAACTATTAATTCTGTCTCCCTGCAGCTCCGAGTCTTCTCTGAAGCTCTGGGTTAATGATTCCAAGGTTGTTTTCCTCACAGGGCCAATCCGTATCTAATCTGTGGCATGTTCTATTCTTTAAGAATAACTTGACTCACTCCAATAATTCTCCATCCTGGGGTTGTGAACCTTGTTTTGCCTGAGGAAATGGTGGATGTGTGTGGGTCTCTGGCTCCTTCCTTCCTCACCGGAGCCCCACCCCATGGCCATTCCCTTCACCAACAGAAGCGACTCCTCTCCTCCCCCGCTCTTCAGTGCATGGATGCTGTGACCTAACAAACAATCTCCCTCAGGCGAAGTTTAAGGATGTGTTTTCAGAACCCCAGAAGGAGAGACTTGGTAAGGAGAAACCCTTTTAAATTGTTTCTCCATACCAAAGTTTAATTAGTGGCTGTGGGAGGAATGGATTGTAGGGAGATTCCAGACTGGTCCCTGGAATCCCAGGCAGGAGGTCTGTTGATGGCTGCAGTGCAGGTCACACAGAGGCTGGGGATAGAAGCCTGGGAGCCAGACGTAACTCAAGGGTGGTCTGGACACTGGAGATAAGACCAGCTGAGGGCTGTGAGCTCACTGAAATTCAAAAACCAGCTCACAGTGGCTCACTTATCAGGAGACCCCCAGCTCCCAAACCTCCTTCCCCTTAATCCAGTACATTTGGTGCAGAGTTTTGGAACATAGTGGTGGGAATCCTCTGCATAAAGGAGTGGGTCACTGTTCTGCAAAGGTTCCACTGTGCGATAGGAACAAGTTAACTTTTCTGAGCCTCAGTGTTCCTATCTGTAAAATAGTGATTACATTTATTGTAGGTAGGTAAATTATTACAAGAACCCAGAACCCAATTTAAAGAGACCAGACCTGGGACGCCTGGGTGGCTCAGTTGGTTAAGCGACTGCCTTTGGCTCAGGTCATGATCTCCGCTCAGCGGGAAGCCTGCTTCTCCCTCTCCCGCTCCTCCTGCTTGTGTTCCCTCTCTCGCTGTCTCTCTCTCTGTCAGTTAAATAAATAAAATCTTAAAAAAAAAAAATAAATAAAGAGACCAGACCTTTCAGACATAAGACATAACACTTTTGTGCGTACAGAAGAGTGAAAACATAAGGGAAAGGCATTGGTATGTCTGAAGCAATTCTAGGACCATTCTGACTGCAGAGATCGTGGTGTGAAAAATACACCTGTGTGCCCACTGCCTTGCTTCACAGAACATTTCCAACAGCGCTGAAAGCCCTGTGTTCACCTTGTGATCCTGTCTTACCTTTCCACCCTGGAGAAAACCACTGTCCTGAATTTTTGTGTGTACTGTTCCCTTGTTTTTGTCACACATGTACTTTTGACCTTGTTTTTGAACTGTTCTATAAGTGGAATAAGTTACAGTCACAGAATAGGTTTTTTCCTAGGCCAGGGTATGTAGCTGCTCACTGTTGCATGTATTCATATCCTACTGTGTTATCAGTTGTGTTGAGGGTAATTTGGGCTGCTTGCAGTGTTTTGCTATTTTTTGCTATGAACATTCTCACCGTCTTAGAACCGGTGTCTCTCCAGGATATATACCCTGGAAAGAACTTGCTAGGTCTAGACGGGAATATTGCCGACAAAGGCTGCTGTACCCCTCTTCCCTCCACTGAATAGCCTGGGGAGGCCCGTTCTTTGTCTATGGACCTTCAGGAGTTAGAAACATTTATAAAATGGTGGAGGTGGAGCATTCCGGGCCATAGTTTGACTTATAGCTGTGGCCCTGAGGAACAAGCCAGACAGGCTTTGAGGCAGCATGAGCTTTGGCTCACATCTCTGAGTGTGAGGTGGGGGCTGCCCTCGACTGGACCCTGGGGTCTCTGGTGGCAGCCCGGCTGACCTCACAGAATCCACTGTGAGGTCACTACTGGGCTGCAGGACCTAGAAATTCAGACAGAATGCAGCATGCCATTCTCAGATTGTATGGTTTTTTATTTCAACTGCAGTGAGGAAAGCTGGAATGGAGTCTCCGGGGATACGTCCCTGAGCCCCGGTCCCCTTTGCAGCTGCCGAAAGCTCTGGGTCCTACTAATGGGCTTCCAAGGTCACCGTCTCCATGATGTTAGATGTCCCGCTCCCCGCGCTCTCCAAGCACTGGCCGCTCTCTGCGGCCTCGATGACGGCCTCCGTACCGCTCCTGTCCACGGTCTTCGCCAACATGTTCACGTCTCTGTCCCGTGGGGAGGCCACGGTTCTTGTAGTAAGGTTGGCTTTGACGTTCCTCAGGAAGGAGCTGATCCTGCTGAGCCTCTTGGTGGCGGAGCCCGAGCTGGTGGTGGACAAGCTCTGCCCCGATTTGTGCGAGGTCCTGGACTCCTTGGCGATGGGGGCGTGGCTGATGCCTTTGTGGGGGGCGCGCCTGCCGCCCCCCGGGCTGCCGCGGCCCTTCTCCTTCTTGTCCTCGCGCGCGGCTCTGTGGACCGCTAAGGACCGGCTGGAGGCTTTCCGGGTGATCTTGTCCCCCGGGGCCTTGTGGCGGCTCTCGGCGGCCCTGCGGCGACGGGAGCTCCGGAGGGCTCGCTCCTTTTCACCGCGCTCCCTCCGCTCCCTCCGGCCCTTGCGGGGCTGCCTTCCCGCCTGCGCTCCCGGGCCGCCCGCGCTCGGCGCGTCCGGGAGGAGCGCTCCCTCGGCTCCGTCCAGCGCGGCTCCTCCCGCAGCGCTGCCCGCAGCTCTCGTCCCGGCGAACGCCAGGGACATGCTGTCCTCTGGGAGACCGTTGGACGAGTCGGAAGTAAACCCTGGGGTCTTTGCGGTACCTGCCAAGGCCACGTTCAGGCTCCTCGGGGACGTGTTGGCAGCGCCCGCAATGGCGAGGTTGGCTTTGCCTCCTCCTGGACGCTTGGTGGCTGTCCCGGCTACGGCCGTGCTTAGCTGTTCAGGGCCCGCAGACCTGGTGATCGCCACGCTCAAAGCGCCTGCTGTGGTGCCCAGTGCGACCCCCGCTGCGAACCCTGTTGCTGTCCCCGCGGCCACCACTGCGGCCGCCCCCGCGGCCTCCCCCGCCGCCGCCGCCGCCGCCGCCTCTGTCGTGGTCCCTGCTGCCGACTCCTTGTCGAGCCCTGTCGCTTTTGTGTTTGGGGCGGCTACGTCGGGCAGGGTGTTGGGTTTGTGGGATTCCTGATGGGTCCCCTCCCCGCCAGCAAAAGCCGCAGAGGTGGCGCCGGCCACCTCCGAGACCACGTGGAGGCTCCTGACGCTGACCTGGTCCTGATCCCCTTTTCCTTGGAAATCTGCCCCCGCTGGGCTCCTCCGGTCCTCCTCCTCGAACACAGGCATGCACAGCATGTCCTCCGCTGGAATGGCGTAGGTACTGCTGTGACTGTCCACCGGCGGCCGCAGGAGGTAGATGAGCTTTTCCCAGTAGGCAAAGAGGTCTTCCCGCGCGTCCAGCGGGGGACTCAGCTGCAGGTAGCACGAGCGGCCCGTGGCGAACTTGAGGCGCAGCTGTTGTTTCTCATGGTCGTGAATGGAGATCCTCACAAACTTCAAGGGAAGGAGCCTGGTGAGCTCTAAGGTCTTTGAAGCCTTGCGGCCTTTTCCCTTGGTGGCCTGGCCCCGCCCGGAGTGCTCTTCACAGCCGGTGGCCGGCCGGGCCAGCAGCATGACATCTGGGAGGGGGAGGATGGGGCTGGTGGATGCGATGCCCACGGTCACCATTCTGACCCGGTTGTGCACATCGATGACTTCTCCCCTTTTGGTAATCTGGATAAAGTCGCTTTCAAAAATAGGTGCGTACTTGAATATGTCATATTCTCCCTTGTGCAGTTGTCTCTGTAGTTTCCCCATGGTGGTGTTGAACATGCCCACTCCCGAAGCACTGTGGGCGGTGTGGTAGGGTGGCAGAGACTCGGCGTTCATGACCACCTTGTATCACAAGCAGGGCTGGCTGGCGAGGGCGGTCCCTGGGTCTTCTCTTCCCTGGCCTTGTTGGGTTGGCGGAGGGCTCCTGTGTCACACGGGTGGCTCTGGGGCAGGTGTCTCAAGCCCACCCCACCCCACAGGGCACAGACTCCCTCCCCTTTGGCTCAGAACCTCCCAGAGACAAGGGTCAGGGTTGGGGGCTCTGAGGATGGCAGAGGGGATGCTGGTGGGTGCCTGGACCCCAGACTAAATCTCTACAAGGGTGTAGAGATGGACGGTGGGCTCCTCCTCTACCTCCCCTCTGCTCTGATTTTTTTTTATCTTCCTAAGAGGCTGCGAACTACAGTCACGGTGAGAGAAGTGACCACTCTCTCAGCCTAAACCCCTGCGCAGCCATATTTATCCTCTGCTGCCCTTTGTGACCTGTCACTGTCACATACCCCTTTGTTCTCATCCCCCAGGCACCCCCTCAGGGCAGGGCCACCATCCTCCCCCCAAAAGCCCCATTGCCCACATAGAGGACAGGCCCACCCTGCCAGGGACTCAGGTAGGTATCAAAATAAAAATTTCTTCAAATGGAACAATTTTGTGTGGGGACTTTTCCCCCCCCCTCCCCCAAATTCAAAAGATTCAGCAACTGGACAAAAGCTATAGGAATGTAAGATGATAGGATACATTTGAACCATTTGAGCTCATGGTTTCATTTTGTCCAAGAACCCAGAATTGGCAGTCTTGGTCTTTCGCCTGCCCTTTCATAAAATCGCAGTAGACATTGATGCTTGCAGCCATTAATGATAACCTTAAAAACCGCATCCCCTATGCACCATGCCATGTTCTCCACATATGACCATGAGAATCCATCAAGTTTGGTACTGTTGCTACTGCCCCATTTTACAGGTGAAGAAAGTGAGGCGGTATCATTGGCCTAACTTCACAGAACTGATGGTAGTAGAGGCAGTATTTGCATGCAGGTCTACCCGATTCCAAAGCCTTTGTTCGGAACCACCACAGTGCTTTGCTTCACGAAGAAAGCTTGGGCCAACCACAGGTTTTAAACCAGACTGATTTAAGACCTTTCTGATGCACTAGGGGAAGTTGCGTGCCTCCATATGTGTGTATATGTTATGGACAGAATCCAAGACAACTACTTCAGGTGGTGGCTGGGCTGAATTGGGAATTAAATTGTACAGGGGGCCATCTTCGCTCCTCCCCTCCCTTATGCTTCTACAAACAACCTGTGTGTGGAAACCTGGTTATTCTCTCTTAAGACCCCTGGTTTTCTTCCCTTCTTCCCCGGTGAAATGAAGTGCGGGGGGTGCAGAGATGTCATCTTCAATTCCAGGAGCCTACCAAGCATCCTCCTGGGGCAACAGGACTGGTTTGGAAGCCTCGACACCCATGGGAAGCATGTACCATTTTACCTCCTGCCTTATCACCCCTCCCACAGAGCTAGCCGCAGAATATGTGATTTCTAATCGTTATTTGAAAGTTCTAAGACACCTGCTCCCAACTCTCTAATCTCCCAGTTTGATGTTATGCCCGAAATCCTACATTAGGGATTCATTCCTTGAAAATAAAGGATATCTTTCTGTTCCAATACACACACCTGTTCAACAACAGGTGAATGGATAAACAAAATGTGGTCTATCCATACAGTGGAATGTTATTCAGCCATAAAAAGGAATGAAGTACTGATACCTGCTACAACAAGGATGAATCCTGAAAACAGGATGCCAAGTGAAAGAAGCAAGACACAGAAGGACACGTACTGTATGATTCCATTTAGATGAAATATCCAGAAGAGGCAAATCCACAGACAGGTATTAGATTAGCGGTTGCCTGGGGCTGGACGGAGGGGAGTGTAGGGAGTGACTGCTTAATAGGTACAGGATTTACTTTGTGGGGAATGAAAATTCTGGAACTAGATAGTGGTGATGGTCACACAGCATTGTGAATGTACTGAGTTTTACACTCTCTAGAATGGGTACAATGGTAGATTTTATGTTGTGTGTATTTTTTTTTCTCATGCACACATGCACATATACACTCCTGCTTGGAACCCTTTAGAAAGGTCAACGGTGTGACTCAGCTTTCCATTTCCTCGTCTGTAAAGTGGGGATAACATTTGCTCTGAGGATTCAACGAGATAACGCATGTGAAGTGTTGAGCATATCGTCTAACTCAATAAATAGTAGCATTTATTAGCATTCATCCTCAACTGGCCTTTTAAGTCAGTGTGAATTCCTTCCCGAGAGCAGTTTTTGAGAGGACAAACTGAGAAGCTTGGGGGGTTACAGTCGCTATGGGAACACAGAAGGATGCTCAATGGGCGAAACTGGCCTCCTCTGAGTCTCTACCTCAGGCAGATCCATGAAAACACGGAGAAAGGTGAATACAACCAGAGTATGGGACGGGAAGAAAGGAAAGGCTCAATATGGGTTTGGGTTTTAAGGGTTTTTTCAAAGCCAATGGGGAGAAAGTAAGATAAAGATGGAAAATAGCTTTTTAGCTCTTGGCAGAAAGTGAAAGTTTTAATTCCAGAATCCTCTGGGCCAGAACCTTTAAAACTCTTGATTCTGAAAGAGGTGTCAGGCCAGATGTTAGGGAAAGGCAAGGGGACAAGGATGAGGTCAGGAGAGAGGGTGGGATCTCCAAGAGCTGCCAGTGTGATGTCACCACCCAGCGGGAGGCCTGAGGAAAGACACTGGCCAACTGGGTGTCTGATTCTGGCGGAGGCCCCATCCAATTTTATTCTCTCAGACTCTGCCAACCTTCCCTCTCCCTTGAATATGAAACAAAATGAACTAAACAACTTGATGGTAAATAGATATTCGTCCTTTTTATTATTATTATTATTATTTTTTTAAAGATTTTATTTATTTATTTGACAGAGAGACACAGCGAGAGAGGGAACACAAGCAGGGGGAGTGGGAGAGGGAGAAGCAGGCTTCCCGCGGAGCAGGGAGCCCGATGCGGGGCTCGATCCCAGGACCCTGGGATCATGACCTGAGCCGAAGGCAGACGCTTAACGACTGAGCCACCCAGGCGCCCCTTTATTATTATTATTATTATTATTATTATTAAAGTATCAAAACATAAACTTGGCCACAGGAAACAAAACTGTTTTTAATGCACTTGGTAAAAGGTGCTTTCCACTAACCATATACAGTGTATTTTTCGGATCAATTTTTTTGGCCATTGCCACCACCCACTTCCTTCCTCTCCAATTCATTGTTGTTGTCCTTGGCGGCTTAAGAACTGTCTGGAGTTTCTAACAGCTGATTGGTGGCACCTACACCTACAAACAGAGGGTAAATGCAAGGATTCTCCCCCCAACCCCTTAAAGAAAATAGATTATCTCCTGAAAGCAGTGGCAAGGGGCGCTTCCACCAATTGGCTCTTTACAGACTGGGAAGTATCCCTGATGTGCAAATAAAGCAGCAAAATCAGGACACGGGCGTCACAGGTGCTAATTTAAAGGAACCGTACAGGAGTTCAGAGGACCAGGCTCCCCATTCATGTGCACGAATCTTAACATTGGACGAAGCTAGTATCTCTCTGAAGGAAGACATTAGTAGCAGAATAGCCAGTTTTTATTTCTAGCCTGTGAGGGATACCTGTGCGCACAGGCAAAGAGCAAGGGAGCCTGGCTCTGTTCCAGACCCAAGGAATCCCATTTGGTGGAATGCCTTTCTTTGAATTAGCACACCTATCAAAGTGATTCTCTCCCTCTCTTCCTCCCTCCATTCTTTCCTCCTATGTGAAATACATACTTGCAATAATCAGACACATATTTGGACATAATGGATGTAATCGAGTGAATACTTTAAGAAATGCTCTTCGGCAGGAGGTACAGTGTCAAGCTGAACAACGGGTCTACGTTTTAGGCGTCTGTACATTCAAAGAAACATAGTTGAGATTTTATATCAAAACTCTATGTTAACACCAAACATTGGTCTAAAGGATATACTTGGTTGGCGCTGTGTTTCGGGGCTTGTCAATGAGAAACTGGGCATCAGATGCCACAGTCTGAGGAACAGGATGGAAAGTCAACCATCCCGCCCAGTGGCACCCCAAAGAGCAAAGGATGACCCTGGGGAGAATTTTTAAGCGAAAACGCCCCTCCCCCTCAACGGAGAGGGAGGGGGTGGGGAATGACTAGAGTTCAACAACCAACCCATTTACAAGTAACAGAAACCAGCACAACACTTAAGTTCACCATGTCTTGGTTCCAGTATTTATTATATCGACAAGTTAGGAATACTAGGATAAATAAGTAATATTTTCTCTTACAGAAAATTGTAATGATACTATTGAACAGGATTAAACACTCTGAGGATTTCACAGAAACATCAGAATTTAAACAGACAGTAGCCAGAGTCCTGTGGCCAGTGTGAATGACCTCTCACAGCTATAAATGCTCTGGGCCAGATTTCTACAAACATCCGCATGACAAACAATGCCACGAACATCCAATAATGCTAATGCCTGGGCATCACCTGGCTTCAAACTTGTCTCCACTGAATGTGGTTTTCAACTGCGAGAAAGGGAAAATGGAATATTCTTTGGCTTTTCTGGCCTAGAAATAACTCCTGACCTAAGTCACTGAGTGGAGAGTCCTAGCCCTTTGGAAGTTGGACTTCCTGCTTTCTTCCTGTGACATGATAACTGGGTTTGCGACAGAGGACCTGCAGTCATGCCCGTGAGTTTTGCGTTAATGCCTGGCTCCACGGGAAAGGCGGCTTTCTCTGTTGACACAAAACTGCCCTGCTCGCCAGCAGAATTCTGTTCTCCCGGGGCGGACAAGCTCTTCTGGCCACCTCAACATTCTGTAAGACCCTGCCTATGGTGCTCGCCACCCCCACACGCTCAGAAACCAGATCTGAGGAAAATCACACCGGGTGTTGTGCAAAACAAACATCAGGAGAGCACAATGCCTAGCTTTCACACAGACGCTTTGCACACAGTAATTCCGGTACATAATAGCATGTTTGCTAGAAAGCACAACCCTGGCCATTGTACAACGCTGTTAAATGCTGTTCTCCCTCTGTGTCCCCTGCGAGTGGCCGAGGCAGTGCAGGACGCGGCCCCACTCCACCCACCCAAGGTACAGACACTTCTTCAGCATGAGTCCTAATGGTGAGAGTCCTGGTTTTGGTAGAATCCAGGCAGAAGATGGGCAGGACCCTGAACAGGGGCCATCTGCAGCATCCAAGAATAGCCAGTAATGTTAAGGCCTAAATCCTGGCATTGAGACAAAAAGATGCCCTTGTCCTGGTCCAAAGTCCACTCTGGTGCAGAGAGGAAAGGCCCAGCTGAGTCACCAAGGGCTTTTCCGCCTCGATGGGTCTTCACGAGAGGTGCACAGGAAGTCAGATCTCCAATGGCTTCAGGGTTTGGGATGTAGAAGGTTTCGATGAGGACTCCCCAGTTGCCCCCATACCATGACTGCTTAGCTTTGCAATGTTCCTTCTTTTATCTGTTGGATAAAAAGGTTTCTCTCATCTTCTGGAGTCCGCCCATTCTGAGCCCGGACAATACACGTGGGCCGATGAAGGTTGAGCATGTATATCAAATGCTGCTTCTCGTTCTTGAGCTCCTCGATTTGGGCCTTCAGTTCGGCGTTCACGCTCTCCAGCTTCTCTGACTCCTGGGGAACAAGCAACAGAATTATTAGGAATGGAGCCAAGGTTCCAGTGCAGAGAGGCTGGCCTCGGGGTGGCAGTGGTCACACGTCGTTGGGGTTCATGAGGTTGAAATGGCCTGCAGAGAGGGAGTGCTTGGGGTCCTTGGGATGGCGTCCCCACAAAGCTGGGACAGCGGCATTAGGTCTGGGAGAATCCAGACCCTGGAGAAGCCTTTGAACTTGAAGGCTTCTTCAGAGATGCCCTTGAGTTTCCACTCAAGGTTGAGGGTGGGTTGTGACTGTCATGGCAATGAAAATGCAGTAGAACCAATGGCTCAGAGACATCCTTTGCATGAGTCCAATAGCCCATGCACAGCCCCGCTGGACCTGCGAGGGCCTCGAGCGCTGGGAAGAAATGCAGACTCATGGTGCTCGGTCTTTCGTGAGTCACTGATTTCAGTGAGAAGTTCGTCTCCCCAGAAAAAATGTACATGGCAACACACAAAATGTCTCCATTTTCACTGCCTCCCTGAAGCAATCAACAGAATCCTTGGGGACCTGCAGAGCCTGGGCGGAGACTCTGCGCTGGCCTGTCCACACTTGGGGGAGAGGACACAGGCACGGAAGGACTGTGTCGCAGCCCGCCCCACCTGCCCAGGGATGCTCGTCCCACCTGTGCTTCTCCCTGCAGAAGGGGAGCTGGCGGAACATAGCAGGGAGCTCGGGCTATGGGATGAGCTGAGGAGAAGGGCGACAGAGTTAAGAACACACCAGAACGCAAAAAAAAAAAAAAAAAAAAGTGTAACCACTGCTTGCAGATTAAGGAAATAACTTGTTTGAAGAGATTAATTAAAGGCTTTTCATATTGAGCCAATTGAGAGCCGGCAGCTTCCTTCTCTCGGTAAAACGGGTGAGTGAACCTTCTTTAACCGGGCTGACATATCCTGCAGCCTGGAAGCTGCTGGACGTGTATGGACGGGCCAAGACTGCTGGGAATCTGGGCAGCAGACAATGTGTGGTTTTTAATTCACACACCTGCTTCTTCTACATCCAGAGTCCCCTTTGCGCTAACAGCTTTGTTCCCCCCTCTTACAGCCACCAGCCTTCTGCTACCGGCTACATGTCCTTCTTGGGAAAAGACTTCTGGGCAGGGAGCTTTCTGACTCCCCTCGTGCTGGCAACATGAGGTTGGTCATGGGCAGGCATGAGCAGGAGGAGGGGGTGAGGCAGGGAGGACTCTCTTTCTTTCTTTCTTTCTTTTTAAAGATTTACTTGTTTATTTTGGAGACAGAGTGAGTTGGGGGGCAGAGGGCGAGAATCCTCAAGCCCACTCCCCACTCAGCCCGCCTCAATGCTTGATCGCACGACCCATGAGATCATGACCTGACCTAAAACTAAGAGTCGGACGCAGAACCGCCTACACCACCCAGGCGCCCCAGGGACGACTCACTTTCTGCAGGCACTCTGTCTTCTCCTTCTTTTTGTTGCGGCACTTGGCAGCTGCAATCTTATTTCTTTCCCGCCGCCTCTTTTTCCTTTCATCTTCTTCTGGGGCTACCTATAAAATTCAAGAGACCGCACACTTCATGGGAGGCAAAAAATGCAACCCACCTTAAATACACTGCCTTTCTTTGCAGCAAAATGGCAAACCAGGACAGCCGCCGGGTGAGGGGGGCTGACAAAGTCAAGTCCCAGCCTCCTGCATGACACCTCTCCATACGTACGCACGAACGAAGAATGCAAATCGAAGAATCGCTAGTTAAAGTACATTGGCAATACTAGTAAGTTAAAATCCAGCTTATTTAAAAAATGCATTTGGATTCTGAAATGAGTTGGATATTCATATTGATAACTATCAGTAACTACTGTAATCATTTGGAGCAGGAAACAGATTCTGTTTCTTAGCTACGTCCTTTCCCCTGGATCCAGGAATGACCACAGGAACATCACCCAGCACCTTTTCTCTCCTGCCTCTTCTTTGATTTGAGACCCAGGGGCACCCCATTCACCTCTATCTTCACCCAGAGCATGGAAACACCTCCTTCATGAACTCAAAAGTAGCCCACGGAGCTCCTGGAAAAGAGGAACCCAAGTGCGTTCCCCAAACAAAGTGGCATTATCAGCCCAAGGCTTGGTACCACCTGTGGGCAGTGAACACGAAGCAACCAGTGATTCATCCAGCAAAGACCGATCTCTTCCTCTGCGCCCCACCCCGAGTCAGCTGTGGGGGTCCTCAGAGAACAAAACTCTGTCCTGCTTTAGGTTCTGGTCCTCTCTGGAAGTTGGCTCTGACCCTGACTTTGTCTCAGGACTGATGGGGAACCTGCAAAATTCAGCCACTGGGCTTGGCTCAGAGGCCTGAGGCCAGCTGGGATGAGGCACTCACGGGTGGGCTTGAGTGGGTGACGGTCTAGACTGCTAATGTCAGACCTTGTCGTGTCACCTGTCCCTGCTCCGGACAGCAGGAAAGGGCCAGGGAGCCATACCTCAAACCAAAGAAATCCTGGGACACAACAGTCACCTCAGATCTGTCTTATTGCTCGTCCTTTGGATTCGACGACATTGACTTAGCTTGTGCTGAGACGGAAGGCCTCACAATTTAGAGAAACAAAGTCCGAGGGGAAAGCAGGGCAAGAGGCAGTTCTACCTTTTACATCCTGGACCCCAGGACCACACAGGCAGACATCTGAGTTTAAACTAAACTGGCTCGGGGCGCCTGGGTGGCTCAGTTGGTTAAGCGACTGCCTTCGGCTCAGGTCATGGTCCCGGAGTCCTGGGATCGAGTCCCACATCGGGCTCCCGGCTCAGCGGGGAGCCTGCTTCTCCCTCTGACCCTCTCCCCTCTCATGCTGTTTCTCTCTCAAATAAATAAATAAATAAAATCTTAAAAAAAAAACAAAACACCTAAACTGGCTCTGAATCCCAGCTTCACCACCTATTAGCTGTGAGACCTTGGGCAAGTTACCATACTCTTCTGAACCTCAGTTTCCCTCACTTGTAAAATGGGATCAATAACCTTATCTATCCAATAGGGTTGGGAGGAGGGTCAAATTAGTTAAGTTAGATAGATAGATAGTTAGATAGATAGATATATAATTAAAATGCTTTGCACAGTGTTTAGCATACAATCAGCCTTAATAATGATGGTAAGTTACTATCATTATTAACCTCACCATTCTTCATCAAGAACCCAGTAACTGTAGTACTTCCTATACAACCCTACAGATATTTTTAGATAGGGGGGAGAGGATTCGGGGTTTTCTCATACAAGGAAATACTTCAAAGTAGAGCAAATCTCAGAATTGTACACTGTCAGAGATGGAAAAGGCTTTCAAGAACCATTCAGTTCAAGCCCCTGACTGTAGTGCTGTGGAAATGAGGTATGGAGGGGTCAGCAGCAGCACTTCCACGGAGGCCCAGGCATCACTAGCTCATGGTCACCAGATCCGCAGGCTACAAAGCCTGGGTATAAACCCAGGCCTCTGGCTCCTCATCCTCTGTCCTCTCTGGGACACACTGCCTCATTCTACTTTGTTGCCTTCCCAGAGGTGACTGGGACCTGGTGGAACAGGGTCCTGCTGCCCAAGTGCACAGGATGCCCATGGGTTTCATAGGCTCAGCATCCTATTTTAAGATAAGAATTACAGCAACCAAGGGAACCTGAATATTCAAGGAGATTCGTTGGTGCATTCTTTTCCCAGTAAGAGAACCTACCTGTTGAACTGACCTAAGATCAGAAGGTCACTTAGTAAACACACAATCAGTGGATGAGTCTGGTGGCTCTAAGGAATATTTCCACAGATCAGGAAATATTCTGTCACCAGATGTCCTCTACATTGGACATCTGCTTCTTCCTCTGAAGAACCCTCCAAATACCCTTGCAAAATGCTTTTCTTTCTTCTATGGGGATCCTACTACTTCCCACTACATCCTGTTATCTCAGGGTATTTAGAGAATTTTTAGAAAATTCCTCGCGTGTCCCAAGGCCCACCTTGCACTGTCCAGTACCGGACAAGGCAATGATGATGATGCTACCCCTTGACCAAAGACAGTGATCACAGCAGTTAAGTAAGCTTGATACACTCCCATCTTTTATCCATGAGGGAAAGGCCCAGAAAGTAGCCAAGACCTGCACTCTGAGGTCCTCGAGCCACCACTGCATGGCCAGCACCCAGCTCTCAGACCTCTCGCCACGTCTGTTACTCCAGGCGTCTTATAAAAGGTTGCTTGATGGGGAGGAGGGCAAGTGTCGGAGACAAGTGAACTCGAAGCAGAAGCTGTTGCCAGGGCCGTGAGCGAGGCTGGCTGGCCCTGGCTCCCCACACTGGCCGCCTGGGTCCTCGTCGTGACGAACACCGTCCCCACACTCTGAGCAGCGCCCTGCCTGGAGCACGCCTGGCCTGGTGGGTGTACGACGAAGAAGCCCGTAAAGAACGGGCACCGCGAGGAGCACCTACCTCGGTTTTCGTGACTGCCATCTCCAGGGGGCTGCCGCTGACGGTGACTGACTCCAGTGCAGAGGACATCCGGTGACAGAGGTGCTTGTTCTGGATGGCGAACCTCAGCTCTTCCTTGACAAAGGGTGTCAGGTTAGCAAAATCCTCAAACACCAGTGACCCAGGAGGGGACAGGCAGGGGACGATGGCGGACGCACTGACTTCTGAGGCAGAGACCTGGCCTGGATGTTGAAGCATCATTTTGCTGAAAGAAATATCGAGACCCAAACTACTTCAGGGACTTAGGGGCATGGGATCAAGTCTCCCCACATCTGCGGCCCCCAACACCCCAGCCGTATCCCCCTCAGGCTTCTGTGTTGTTCTCGTTTTGCACCATCCTTCTCTTGAGTAAAACAGGTTCTTAAAATACATAGCTCAGTGATGTGGATAAAATGCCTACTTGAAATTTATAAAGGGTGGCATTTCAGGCTAGAGGTCAAGAAGCTATTAGTTTTGGCTGGTGCGCGTATATGCAAATGTACCCTCAAACAGTCCTGAAAGAGGAAGAGCATTTAAAGAAAAAAAAAAATCAGTGAGACTTTTATGTAACCCCATTTTCAGTCTCTGTTTTGAAAAGAAACTTGGAAGGTATCTGAAATCAAGCTGAATGGATCTATCCGTGAATGGAAGTAAAAGCAAAGACTCAGGGACCCTTGAATTTAGCAAATAAATCTCTGAAACTTCTCCCTCAGGAAGTTGGATCCAAGTCAATGAGAATGAGGATAGTAACTGTAGCCAGCAGGTGTGTTTCTTCAGCCCAGCTTGGCAGGAGCTGGGGCTGAGGGGTGGGGCGGGGGATTCACATCACAAGGGACCAGTAGCCCCTTCTTAAAAGGTTAAGCCCGCTGAAGCAAAAGACTTGAGAAAAGAAAAGCAAGGAACTAAGAATTTGGACCTCTCCTGGGGGTGTTGTTCAGCCCCGTGGTGTCTGGAAAGGCTGGGGCTGGGGACCGAGGGGAACCTGGGACTGGCTCCAGGACTGAGGAGCAGTGTGACCTAGGCTGAGTCTCAGTCTTCATCTGGCTAATGGCTGAGAGGTCCTGCGGCAGGGCACTGAGTGTCTTCACTGTTCCTGTACCCAGAGCTGGCCTGGCACCTGGCACCAGCTGCCCCCAAGGCCTGCTGACCCCCGCAGACTGCCTCACTGAGTACATGAAAGGGGGAAAGAGGGGGTCAAATCAAATGGTCTCTGAAGTCTCATCTACCACTCTTGTTCTATAGCCCAGGGAGCCCAAAGGGACAATGAAAGGAAAGTGAAGGGTAGAAATCATAATAGTTCCACGGTTCCAATTTGGAAGAGCCCCCCATAAATCTCTGCCTGCCACACACTCCCTCCAGCAGCAGCCGTGTCCCCTCATCCTTGCAGTCAGTTGTCCAGGTATGAGGAGTATGGGGACGGTCTAGGCACACTGTGCCCTGGAGCGTCCTTCGCAACCTGGCTGCGTGCAGTCATTGGCCCAGTCTAGTCGACAGGAAGCCCTCTGGCAAGCGACTAACATTTAACGAGTGCCTCCTTCACACTAGAAACCTTACGTGCATTATCTCATTTAACCCTCACGAGAACCCAGTCAATTAGGTTCTAGCCCCCTTTCACAGATGAGGTAACTGAGGTTTAGACTAGCGTCCTACACCTAAACCTCGTCCAAAGTCACAGAGTTAGTTAGTATGAAGCAGCCTCAGGACTTGGATTAAGTTTGACTCCAGAACTCATGCCCTGAACTTATAGAATATAAAATATTATTTACACTGCAAAAACAAAAATGCCAGAGCAAACCTTTCTTGCGGGGTAGGGATGGCAGGGGCTGGGTGGGGGACCTGGGACAGAAGTGGTGGAGAGGAGACTCTGTGCAATGAACTCTGTGCAATGAACCGCTGATCTTTCTGTGTCAGCGCGCACATTCCGGCCGCTGCCTGCATTTCAGGAGTCGTAAGTGGGTCTTTTATCCACAAAAATTCTTAGACTGGGGTCAGATGATCAAGATTTGAGGCCCACTCACTCATGTATCATCATCATACCTCCCAGTGCCTGTTTTCTCCTCTGTAAAAGAAGGCTAATGACAATCACCCATTTTTCCAGACTTGTGGAAGGAGTTGAGAAAGTAATACCATGAACATGTCCTGGAAAATATAAAGCAACTGCGAGGCCTGCCCGGGGTTCCCTCCAGGCCGGCTGGCTCTGTGACAGATGCTCTGTGGGGTCCCGGTGGCAGGGTGGCTGGTCACTCTCTGTGATCTCAAACACTTCGGAATGGATCACCCTGACCTCTCAACTGACTCCCCCTTAAGGTCTGAAATACACTGATGGAGGCAAGAATGCCAGGCCAACCAACGCCACCACTGGGTGTTCAAAGAAATCTGGGAAACGTCTGTAATTCTCTTCCCAAAGCCCTGTGTCGTGAGCCAGAACCGAGGTTCTTCTATCAATTTAATCCTATCCTTCAGATGTGGGGAGGAGACTTCTCTGGCAGGCTTTTAAACTCTGAGAAACCAGCCTTCTGAAGCCCGAGGCTTACGATTCTCCCATGCATTCATGTTTTCCCTCCCTTAACCAACTTGATTAAAAACCCAGTAGTTCAGGGATGGAATTCAGAGCTACCACTGGCCTGGCCTTTGTTTGGATGACTGGATGGCTCTCCTCTACCTGGGTAGTTTGAATTCCACCAGTGTTGAGTGTAGTTCTGTTTCACCCCCCCAGCTAAGTTTATTAATGAGCTCTCGGGGCTTGGTTTTTTTCCTTCTTAAAGTCAGCTGTTCCAGTGAGAGAAACAAGAATGTCAGTGGTATGGAATGTTTTTATGACAAGCATTGGGTGGGCTTACTTGGGGATGGAAACGGGTTGTAAAAATGCTAAAAAGCCTTTCAGAAAGGAAAGCAGTTGCATCTGTAGAGATTTGAGTTTTCTCTGCATTCTGCTACAGCTTAATTTCTTGAGATACTTTCTAGTTACTTCTTGACTCATTCTCTTAAGGTCTGACTCAGCCCAGACTCAGGCTGTGTCCCTACGAGGAAAATGAAGTTAAATCTTCAGACAACTTTTCTCAAAGTTGAGACCCGCCAACATTCCCCCTCGTTGAAGAATAAAAAAATCTGTTTGGGGATTTTCTGAGTTGGCTTTCTACACTGATCTTAAAATTGTCCAGACTTGCTACAAAGAACCTGCATTTTGCTTTTGCTTCATTATCTCCAATCAGAAACCATGTCATATCTTTGGCGGTTTCATCATTTTCAAGAAAGTGAAACTTCACTCGTGTATTTCTTTAACTGGAAATTCAACTCCCAGATTTTATTTCCTAGTAGCTACAACTAAGTTGAATTTTCACTTTTAGTTTTCATCTCTTCACCCTAAGTGCTGCTCGGAAAACATCTCACAGTGTACGAAGCCAATACTGGTCTTTCACTAACTTCCTATATTGGTCTTTTTCCAGGCCAATCTAAAAATCGTTGGTGTAATGCTGGGGCTTCCAGAACAGGCCCCTCACTACCACTCACAAGCTGAGCCCCCATTGACAACCCTCTCACGCTTTCTGGGCCTCAGTCTATCTGTAAAATGAGACCAATATTGCCTGCCCCCATTCCCTCACAGGGTGGTCAAGATCATACAAGAATCACAATGGTGGATTTATACACAGGCTGGATAACCATTATTACGGTGATTCCACTTTCCTCATTTCAGGGGAACTCAAAATGTTGTTGCCAATGCAAGTTAGCCCCATTAATCAGGAATTAACTGGAACCCTAATGAAATTCAGGTCATTCACAGCTTCTTTTGCACTTTGGTTAACCCTGGGCTCCCAACACACCAGGTCAGTTCTACCCCACTATATATTTGCTGGCAAAAGCTTGTTTCCACTGCTCTTACGTACTTGAGAAATAACCAGTTCTCGCACATGAAACCATTTCTAGTTTCTCTGGTGTCCTGGCTATGTACTTCCTCCTTCCTAGGCTGGGTAACACTTAGAATCACTGACCCTGTTCCATGCCCAGCCAATTGAAAAGAGAAGAAATCATGGGCTCTATATAATGGGATAGAACGCCCGATATTAGAGGCACGTAAGTCAGATCTTCATTTTGCCATTAACATGAGATCCAGGAAGGTAGTGACTTGCCCAAGGCCATAAAGCTGGTCAGTGGCCCAGCCCTTGCCAAGCTGTTGACCTCTCACCCACTGCTCATTTTGCTTCATCATTAACAGAGATCCAACACGGATAGGACAAACCAATAAGGCAAATGGAAAATAGAGGGAGATGAGGGGTTAGCAGTCTTAGTAACCTGGTATCCACCACAGAGGAGGCTTTGACAGGATTGAGACTGGGAGGGAGTACAGAAGAAAGAGAACAATGGAGAGAAAGGGCCAAGAGGGAGAGGGGGGTTGGGAGGGCGGTTAAGATAGAAAGGATGGGAAGGCTCCAACAGCTGCCACAGGTGCTGGGTGTTATATCCTATCCACACTGTCAGTCTGGAGTGTTACCCGTCACGTCTCTGAAACCATCCAGATGATAACTACAAACCCCTCTGCCACCCCGGTGTTTGTCCAGGATATCCTCAAAGCAAGAGTTTATATGTTGTAGAATTATTCTATACCAAATACTAAATACAAAACAAGAAGGGCAGTAATAACAATTTCTCCTTCATTTAAAGATGGGGAGCTCCCCCCGCCCCCAGCAGGTGGGACTGTCACCCACACACAAATAGGTGCATTGGGGGAGACCACCCGAATGTTCTACCCCGCATTTCCTCACCCCTGGCTCCATCAAGGGTTTAGCAACACCTCTATTTGTAAGGATGTATATGTGATCTCGGTAATAAAATTAGGGAAAAGAAAATGGTTAGGAGGAAAGAAAGTAAGTAGATGAAATGAAAATGGGGTGTGGGGGAGCAGAGAAGGAGAACCATGCAATGGAAAGAACGTTAGGAAGGGAAGACATGCCCCATGGAGAAGTCCCTTCCCCTTCATTGCCTCCGAAGCTGGTCAGTGACATTAGACAGAGACCCCCCCACTCAAGTCATTCACGTCTCCTCACCGGCCCCCTTTCCTTCAGTTACATCGCCCTGGAATCTGAAAAACGTCTTCCAGAGAGGACCTTAATGGTTATCGGGTCCAACCACCACCTGGTGCTTCCAAACAGGCAGAGGCAGCCAGCACGGGCCCTGTGCGCCCACTTTTCTCACTTGGGGAAACTGAGGCTCGAAGACACGAAGCTCAGTATAAGCTCTCAGGGTCCCGGCCACTAGACCACAAAGGCATTCTCTCAATTATCTACACTGGATTCGTACCCTTGCTTCCTCCAAGGTGGGTCTCCGTAGACGAAAGGCAGAGAAACCCGCGGACCCGCCGGAGGAAGAGTCACAGGTACGCGAGAAAAGCGTGTGAGAGCCTTGGGACAAGAAGTCTCCCGCCCAGGGGTTGGACACCAGCCTGTGCCAGGAGCCCTCTCCGCCGTCCGTCCCAGGACAGCAACACGAGCGCTCGCCACCTCGAAACTCATCCCAACTAACTTTCGCTCCAGGCTCCCGCGCGGTCCCGCGGCGCAGCGCTCCAGGGTGCGCAGGGCGACCCCCAGCGGCCGCGCCCGCGACCCCCGCTCGCCCGTCCCTTTCCCATTCATTCGGTCCGGCTCCTGGGGCAGCCCTTCCGCCGGCACCCGGCCTCGGTGCCTCTCCGCGGGGCCCGGGAAGGCTGGGCTTGGCAACAGCGGTGCCCGGGACGAAGCGAAGGATGAGCGGGACAGCGAGCCGGAGAGCCTCGGCCACCCCCGCGCACCCGCCTCCCCACGCCCGCTCCGGGAGAGGTGAGCAGGTGCCCAGGGCGGAGAGGAGCAGGGCTCCGAAGCCGGCGGAGGAGCCGGAGCCCGCCCTCTCCGTCACCGGGACCCTTTCGCGCCCCAAATCAAAAGAGAAAGTTCTTTGCGAGAAACTTTCCGAAGCGCTGAGGAGCAGCTTTGGCTGGGAGAAGTTCGGCCAGAGTTCTTTCGCAGCCGGAGGCTGGGCGCGCGGATCGGGGACGGGCGCAGGGGTCGCGGGACTGGTTATTAGAGGGGCGCAAAGGGAATGAAAGCGGGCCACCCTCGCCGCGCTCACTCACTCGGTTCCGGCGCTCACCTCCGGTCTCCACTCCCGGCGGCCAGGGTCCAGAGGGCGGGCGGGGTCGGGGCGGGGTCGGGCTGTCTGTCTGGGGGGCGGACGGGCGAGCCCCGAGGACGCACGGCCGGCGCGCGGGCTGGCGGGCGAGTCGGCTCGGGTTCGGGCGGCTGCGCCGGGACAGCGTTGGGCACTGCGCGCCTCGCTGCGGGCGACTGTGGCTCAGAGCGCGTTGCATCACCCCTTTTATAGCCCTCTGGCTGGCGTCGAGCCAGTTTACTCCGGGTTACGAGTCCCAGGCTGACGTAATGCTATTAATAACTTCCCCCGAGAACCAGCCGAACTAGGCTGGGCAAGGAGGAGGGATGGAGGAGGGGCCAAAGGGGGAAACGAAGCGGGGGGGGGGGAACTGGTGATGCAAGCTCGGGGAGGAGCCGGTCGAGCGGCGCTCCCCCGGCCTCTTGCTCTCGGACACACACCCGCCCACCCTCTCTCTCCATATCAGGACCGGAGCCGTCCGGGCGGGCAGCCAGATGTGCGTACTCGCCGCTGCGTGTTCCAGGCATGAGCCAATGGTGCCCAAGCCAGCGGCATGACTCCACTGCGCTGGCATCTCTCCCTCCGCTAGATTGGGGGAGGGGAAAAGATGGAGGGGCGGGGCCTGGCCGCAGCCCAAAGTAGGTGAGGCTGGGAAGCGGGCACGACCTTTCTCTAAAATGCGTGGTCATTTTCTGGAGCCCCTTCCCCCGCCAAACGCCGCCTTCTCTAGTTGGGGGCAGAATAGGGTCAGAAGCGGTAGTCCCCGCTGTGGGGACGTGCCAAAAGGACTCCTGCGAGAACCCATACAGTGACCCGCCGGGGGTGACCTCCGCGGCTTGGCCCGCAAGAAGTCCGCGCGTTAACCCAATCGCGGAGGGCAGCGCTCGGCGGGCACGGTGCGTCCTAGCCCGCAGCCCAGGCACACCCCGCACCAGCGCACAAGCGGAACCGTCTCCCGGCCGGCGGGGAGCGCGTCTCCGAGGCCAGGGCAGGTGCTAGGACCGTGCGGATTAGGATTTTTTAACAACCACAAAGAGTTTGAAATTGACGGGCAGTTTCTCAGTGAAACGAACACAACCTGGAGAGATGAGAGGAGCTGTAAAATCAGAGGCAACTTGGGCGCTAAGAGTGGGGCTGAAACCGAGCGGCCAGGGCGAGGAGGAAAGAGAAGGTGCTTTGATCCCCGCGGGCCAGGCGGAGGGAGGTCGCCACCCTATCTTAGGCTACGTCTAGGGAAAACCCATCTTCGCCTTTCACGTGTTTTTCTGCCCCCAGAGCGGAATTGGAAGGGACAGGACAGCGGGGAGTGGGGGCTCACTGACGCCAGCCGAAATGAGGCCCCGTAGCAGAAATCCCTTCGCCCCTCAAGCCCGGCTGTCGGGAAAGGTTGGGTCCTATGGCCGCAGATACTAGGTGGAGCTTCAGCAGAACTGGATTTGAACCTTAAAAACGATTTCCGGGTTCCGATTCCTCGACCCCAGCTGTCTGGGCTTCGAGAGTGGCAGAACCAGGGACCTTCTCAACTGCCCAAGGACGAATATACGTGGACGCGAGTGTGGCTCGCGAAGTTTCGAACCTGCCCGGGAGGGGAGGGGGCCCGCGCGCGCCGGTGGGGTGCAGGGGGCACGGTTAGGGGCAGAAACCCCTGCTTCCACCTGCCTCTTGGGAGAGGCGATCGAAGGTCATGGTTTGGTAATTTGAGGTAAGAACTAGAAGGGTTCTGGAGCCCGGGCTTCACCGGCAGCCACACACCCCGCACCTGCACCCCTAACCTGTTACAGTCGGCACTGATGGAGGGGTCGTCCCCACCTCCCCCACTCCCCCACCCCCGCTTACACACACACACAGTCCTGCACACAGGAGGAATATCTGTCCGTTTCCCCAGCCCCTCCGATTGCCCAGCCGCCTGGGGCAGAGACCCTCAGAGCTGCGGGTGAAACTGCAGGTCCCCCACACCCATGTTCCTGTCCCCCAAGCCCGAACCTCATCCAGAACACCCCCTCACCAAGCTTCCGGCCCGGGACAACTCGGAGGGCAGCCTCGGAAGCCCCCCCCGTCCCCGCCCCCAACCCGTCTGGGAGCCCAGGGTTCCACACAGGATCCTCGAGGATGTAGTCCTGCACCTGAGCGGCTTTCCAGCTGCGTCGCGCGGGAAGCGTGGGGCGGTTGTTTTTGCTTTACTTTTCGTCCAGGTAACGGCTCTCCGCGCCCCACCCTCCACCCCCACGGCCACACCCCCTCGCACCCAGCCCCACACCCCCCTCACCCCACCCTCCTGCAAACGCGCGGGCAAGTAAACCCCGGGCGTGTCGGCACAACCCCTAGAACAGTGCAAGACCAGAAGGAAGAACGTTTATACATTTAAATGAAAATTATTTGGGATTTTCTACGCATGTATTATATCTACTTATCTATTGCTCTGGAATAAATTGCACCATCATAAGTTGAAATAAGGAGATGGAGGAGAACATGTGAACCCACCCCTTTTTCTTTCTCTCCGTGAAATGCCTACAGTAATCTTTAACCAGTTTACATTTTAATACACCCAAGCCAGACTTGTGGTTTAGTCCTGTCCTTGCGGGGAAATTCAATTTAGGGCGTAGGGTAAACAAACAGCCAGACCAGCCTCCACAAAACAATGCAAGAGAAGGGTAATTACGATAGAGAAGTCCACAACCCCTAGTCGTTTATTTTTATTATCATCGTGCCTCCCGTTCCCTTTTCTTGGTCTTGTTTCATTCAAATAAGTCTTGGTTTTGAATCTCCAAGTGACCCCTGGGTAGAAACTGCTGTCAGCTGGTCACAGAAGTGTGAGCCTCGCATTCTCTGCTTCCCTGGCCCGCTGAAACTCTAAAAGTGATAAGAATCTTGACAGAGAAGTAAGTCCACCCCTTGTGAATGAAACTCTTATCCAAGGAAAACAAAAACTAGGGCTGCTTGACTCCCTGCCCCCAGCCCCCAGGAGGACTGTGAAATGCCTGCCCAGCTGGAGAGAGACGGGGAAAGATTCGCGTTTGGGAAGAGCCCCAAGGTGTGGGCTGCTGCGGGAGTGATCAATATCTCAGTCCTGTGTGTCCTCATTTCACCCTGACTTTAGTTAAAGCCACCAATGTCTAGCGTGCATACTCTGTACATCTAGAAGTGGGGCAAGAAGAGCTCCACAGACCAAAATGCTTCTCTACACAAGGGCAAAGCACGCCTCCCCCTCTGAGAAGGAAGCGCGGGGCTGGGGTTTTTTGGGGGGCGGGGAGGGGGTTCATCCTCAGTGGAAGAGGGTTAAGCAGAAATGTGAATATTGCTGAGGTGCCACGCTGGAGAACCGCCGAGGGAATCCACATTCAGACCAGCCTTAGTATGTTTTGCTGAGATAAGAATTGGAAACTTCATGCCGGGGCATGTGTGAAAGGAAGGGGAAAAAGTTAAAAGCAGAGGGGACGGAACTAGGCAGCTAAAAACAGCCCACTCGTGGCAACGGAATCTAAACACCAAAACACTGCAGGGAGCCAAAAAAAAAAAAAGAAAAAAAGAAATAGTTCAAGGGATATTTAAAGGTTTTGGCAGTTTCTTAGTCCAGGGAACAGTCCCTTCCCACTCTGCCCCCCATGACATTATTCTTCTTCAAACCCCAAGATTGCATTTGCTTACAGAGCTCTGGACAGGTAAGTGCAACACAAAATCAGGGGAACAGCCGGGGACCAGTAACCCTGTCCTGGCTCCACCCACTACTTCACCACAGAAAGGGAGTGGAGAGGATTTTTCTTCTTTACTCTGCCTTCCAAAGCCCACACTTTCTATAAAGTCAGTTAGAATGTGGGGGTTGCTCATTTAAGATTCTCTGAAATGGGCCTCTCAGGAAAACCAGGGAAGCATCCCATACGGGACTCTGAAGCATGGAAGGTGGCCCATGAATGCTGGATTCAGCGCTTAGCAGCTGTGTTATCTTGGAGGAGTCATTTCTCCCTCTCTTGGCTGAGCTGGAAAATGGCACCAGTAACAGCACCTAACACATAAACTTGTTGGGAGGATTCCCTGAGGATGGGGCACACAGCCAGTCCTCAGTGGTGGTATCATGAATTATGAATCAGGAGGGGCTTTCTAGGGGAAATCCCTGAATCTCTCCTACAGTCCATTCTGTCCCTTTAGTCAGTAGCAACAGTGGTGGATGCCGTGGAGCTATATCCAGAAATGATCATCTTCAAAGGAGCGGGGATAAGACTCCATACAGAAAACAATGAGAGCAGATCCTGGTTCTCTACCCACACAACTCTGGGTATGCACCTGCCACTCTCCTCAGCACAGGGTGGTACTTCAAGCTCCCACTGGTCCAGTGCAAAGTGTGTTGGGCTGGGACCAGGGGGGTTGGGGTCTGGTCTGTTTCTGCCTTTGGTATTCTTGAGCAAGCTACTCCCTCTCCCTAAGGCCCCACCTTCTCTGAAGTGAGGGGCCCCCGGCTGAGCACTGAGGGTCTTGAATGGACACCAGCTGAAGCCGTCCACAGCAAGCCCCTGGCAACCTCTCCGCAGAGAGCTGGAGGGAAAGAAGTGGCAAGAGGGAAACATTGAATAGCACAAGGACAGACCCATTTCGGTAAACACTTTTCCTCTCCAAAAACTAGAGTTGAGAAATGTTGTCCAACCTGATTCTCAAACACAGCCTGTGGTCCTGACAACTGATCTTTCTCTCTCTCTTTCTCCACATTTCCAGGGAATTTTACTAATGGACTTGGTGCCTTGCTAGAAAGGAGCGGGTGTGAGAGCGCTTCAGGTGGGGTTTGCATCTTTGGGGACATCCTTGTACGTAGTCCATCTTCTACTGCCATAGACACCCACCTTGGACCATGTGACCAAAGTCCAGGTAACAGCTATTCCCATTTAAGAGTGGGGACCCTAGAGTCCTGGGTGTCCAAGATGAAGTCCCAGCCACCGGGTGATAACAGGACTCAGAAGACCTGGGATCCACTCAGAGGTTTCCTTCCAGCCAACTGAGTGACTTAGTGCAGGTCATAAACACTTCACCTGTGTTCTAGTCTATAAAACAGAACTATTTAACATTGACTCCCCCAAAGAGGTGTGTAAGAATCAATGAGGTAACAGATGTGGGAGTGACCTGAAAATAATTAAATGGGGAAGCTTCTCTTTCTTTTCTTTCTTTCTTTCTTTCTTTCTATCTTTCTTTCTTTCTTTCTTTCTTT